TAGGTATGTAAAAACCCCTAAAAATAAAATAATAACATCAAATAGTATATAACAAAATAATTTTTTTTTTTAAAATTAACGAACAAAATGCTATCAAATTTATAAGAGCAAGTTTTTATCATTTATCTTTCAATTAAATATTGGGAATGTCGATTGCAATTGGGAAGAAGACGGCTGCAAGGCGGCGATGTCTTAAACATTGAATGCCCGATCACGAAAGAGGCTACAAAGTGCGAACTTGTGGGATGAGCAACAATGCTTAGGATGATAATATTCACTACTAATGAAACTCTCAATCAAAATTAGGAGAAAGTTAAAACAAATCTAATGTAAAAGAGAATATCATGATGAGATCTCACGTGGGGGTAGGAGTACAAACGAGTCAAGTCGAGCTCAAAAGACGAGCCTGGGCTCGGCTCATGCCATTGAATACGAGCTCGTGAGCCAAATAGAAGTTTAAACTAAAAGTAAAAAAAAAAAATCTAAAAGTGAAGATATCTTATCAATCAGTGGATGGATTTGAGTATTCTTGGACTTGTTTTGCTCTTGGAGAGATCCTCTTCAACTGTTTAGAAGACTCCAAGGGTTGATTCTGAATCAATTGAAAGTTGACTTCAAATATTTACTTTCTCTCTCTCTTCACCAATGGAAGTTTTGGAAGCAATGAAATGGTGTGGAAATACTTGGAGAAGGTAGAGAAACTCATGGAGAGGCAGAGGAAAGAAACTTGGGGGTTGGAGGCAGCTGATAGAGTGTGTTTGGGAGCCAAGGAGAAGGCTGCTTGGGTGAGTGACATGGTTGGGCTAAGTGAGAGGAGGGGACCACATCTTTCCTCTTTTGGCTAACCACGGCTTGGGCTTGGTTTAGGAGCTGGTTTAGAGTTAGCTTTAAGGCTAGTTTGAACAAGTTTAAATGGGTTTTGTTGGATGATTTGGAGAAGAGGGAAATATGATGATTTTGGCCACTTTAACCCATTCCTTGCTTTTGAAGGGTTTCATTGACTTGTTGACCAGTCAATAGTCAATGGTGATTGGGATAAAGTTTTGGAAGGGAAGGCTTCAATTGTTTTTGGGAGTAATGTTAAGGTGTTTGAGGGAATGATGTTGGTAATATTTTGTCAAATTGGCATGGCTCGCCTTTCGTTTGCTCTGCTAGGGTTTCCGCTATCTTCTCCGTCGCGATGATTGTTGTCGTTTTGGAGGTTGCTCCTTCTTGTTTTACCTCAGGTATCTTCTATTTTTTTCATGGCTTCCGTCCGCCTTCGTGATCCTGGTTTCCTGAAGGGGGCTTCTTCGCCTCTTTCGTTTAAAGATGCTTTAGCTGGCTCTTCGTCTAATTTTCCTGAGTTATGCGTATCTTCTCATCGAGGTTTACCGGCTTTGTTTATTTCTGAGGAAGAAATTCGGTCCCTTGCGGCACCTTTTGATTTCGCTTTGGTTGGCCGTTTTCCGGGTAGGCGTCCGTCTGTTGATGCGATTCGAAACTTCTGTTTTAACTTAAAGTTAATAGGTGAATTCTCGGTCACTGTTCTTAATCACCGGAAAGTTTTTATCAAGTTAGTGAATGATTTTGATTATTGTCGTATGTTCTCTCATAGATCCTACTTTGTTCAAAATTGCTTCATGAAAGTGGTGAAATGGTCTCCCGATTTGGATGTTGAGGTGGACTCTCCTATTGTGCCGATTTGGGTCTCTTTCCCCCTTCTGAGACCTCATTTATTCTCCCCTAGAATCCTCTCTGCTCTTGGTTCTCTTTTTGGTCGTCCTCTCAAGTCAGATATGGTGACTGCGTCGGGCTCTCGTCCATCCATGGCTCGTATCCTGGTTGAATTGGATGTCACGAAGAATTACCCTGATAAAATTTGGGTTGGATCTGTGAAAACAGGCTATGTTCAATAGGTTACTTTTGATGACATTCCTTTGTTTTGCATGCATTGTCATTCCTTAGGTCATTCTAAGGATGCCTGCCCTATTTTACATCCTATTGCTAAAACTGTGGTTGCTATGTCTGGAATCGAAAGTGATTAATGGTAGCTCTAAGGATTTTAATAATGTGCTGGCTGTTGTCGATAAGGATCCTGATGTTGCTGCTACTTTGTTATCTCCGAATGCGCTACCCTTTGTCCCCCCCTTCTGTGAAGTTGAGTTCTCTGGTGCCTAATGATCCTGCAGTTTCGAACTCTCTCCCTCCTGGCTCTGTGTCGGCTAACGTTGAGTGTGATATTAATGATAATGTGGTGGTGATTGAGGGTTCTCCCTCTGTTTTTTTGGGTGAGCTTGGTGCTGTTTCTGGGGGAAATTTTGTTCCTGGATATACAGGTGTGGTTGAGCTGGATAAAGTGGTTGATTCGTCTCCTGTGGTGGGTGAAGTATTGGTGCGCTCGCCTGTGAATGAGTGCCATGGAATTTTGCCTGGTGAAGCTCCGATTTCACCTGCTGTTAATGTGGTTATAAATGCTGATTCATTGCAGGTGGACAATTTGAATGGACTTGCGATTAGTGCTAATAATCTGGTGGACGTCCCTGTAAATGTGGTTGATACTATCAATATGGTCAATATTTTAGGTGTCAAACCTGGGTTAGATGTTCGGAATCATGTAGATTGGCTACATGTTTCTTCTGAAGCTGAGTCTGAATCCGAATTTTCGGAATGTGATGTGGCTTCTCCTGATTTTTATGGTGGTTCAGACCGAGGGAAAGATTTTGCTTTGGTTCGGGGTAGGCCGGTACTCTCGGTTGCCTCCCGTGGTCGTTCTCGTGGGAGGGGCCGTCGAAGGAGATAATTGGACTCAATGTTTTTGGTGTTATGCTCTTTTTTTCTGATAACTGAATTGTTCTATTGCCTGTTGGTTGCTGGTTTGGATCCGGACTATGATGTGGCTGGGGCTTGTGTCCTCGTGGCCTTGTGGTGGCAACCTTTCATTACTGGACGGCCCGTTCAAGGCCTCGGAGATGCTGGGAGCCTAAGCTGAGTACCGAGCCCTTTTTCTCATTGTATCCTCCCTTTTTTTTTTGTTTCTTTTGGCTTTGGTTCTTCTCTTGTAATCATTTTTGTTGTTTGATTAATAAAATTCCTTGTTCTATTAAAAAAAAATGTTGGTACATGAGTGGAAAATTAAGAATGAGCTTGAGTTTAACCATTTATGGCAAATTGACCAAGTCAAACCAATAAAGATTTGACTCATCAAAATGTTGAAAATGCATGGAGCATACTATGTAGTGATTTTGAGGGTTCAATTTGATTCGAAAATGCTTGAAGCTTTTAATTTGAATTTGATTAAGTGTATGGTTGATTGGGTCAACCAGGTCAAACCATGGGTTGGGGTTAGGTCCAACGAGTTTAAAATGATGTTTTGGATCCAATGGATGTGGTCTCATATAATGGTGAGGCCTCCTTATATGAAATGCATGGTTGGACCCTTAAGAGACATTTCGGTCAATTATGGTTAACTTGATCAACCATGTCAAACCAGAACGTGGGCTTAGATTCAATGCATCCCAAATGATATTTAGAAAGCATTGGTAGAGTTTTTAAAGGTTAGTTAGAATAAGTCATATTAAAGTTTAAGGGAAAAATTGATTTTCCTTAAGGAATTTTAGGGTTTAGTAGGCCCATGGTCAACCAAGGTCCACAAAAAGTTCAATTTTTTTGTTTAGCATGTCATAACAAGGACCATAAATATGTTCAAAGGTTTTGGGGAAGGTCCCGAGGTCAAATTCCTGACGATGAAAAGTCAAGTGGCAATGACTGCAAATATTTAAAGGTTTTGCAGTTTTTTAAAAATCAATTCAATTTTGGGAGTTAGAGAGCTCATATTGGTCTCAAATTTGAAGAATCGACCCTCGAGACATGCCAAATCATTATGCAACTAATCTAAATGAAATTTTCGAGCATATTTTGTCAAAGGGAAATAAAAATAAACATATTTCTCTACTTTCAATTATTATGGGGTATATAAAGCAAAATTTGGTTACATACATGGCTATATAAAATAGAAGATAAAAATATAATTGTCATATAGCCCAAATAAAATTGGCAAACTTGATGAAATCATCCGCCAAGCTCCTAAGAAGCCATTGGCTTAGTGTGTGCTAATGGTTGAATAGCCAAGTAGCCAATTAATCCTTTCTCATGATGAAAGTCATCCTCTTGAGCAATCGCTAGGGTTGACTTTATATATCATACTCACCTAGTTGGGACAAGTTATGAGATTGCAAGCATCTGCTTGATACAAGTCCTCTTACAAACTAACAAGTCTCTTTTGAGCTAAGATCGAATTAGCTTGGCTTGAAGTATATTGCCTTAGAAAAACCCCAATTTTCTTGAGATTTGGGCTTAAATCTTTGGATATTTACTATGAAAATAATAAGACAATATAAAAAATATTTTTATTCAAGCATTCATAAATTTTAATGAGTCTTTATTTTAGTATGAAATATTAGTCAATCAATTCAATGTTAACTTATAATAGTATTTTTGTCCACATCATCTAATACTTAGCCTATAAATATGAGATTATTGTTTCTCATTCAAACACTTGTTCAGCATCTCGTTATTGCCTTTGAGCTCTGTGTTCACCAATTCCTATAAAAGATTAGTTCCAAAAAAAAATAAAAATAATATTTATAAATAGGAAATCCACTTCTAGAAATGTCCTCCTTATAACATATAGTAAGAAGCAACATGTTTTAAGATCCAATAATGAGTTTGATTTCAAAGCATTTGCCCGCAGTATTAGTACCCAAAATTATTTTAGAAGACATAAAAGAGCATACTAAAACACACAGCAATAACATATCTATCATCAACACTTCTCATAATCGAATATAACCTAATTTATAACACACTTGGAGATCCATAAAAAATTTCATTAAAAAATAAATAGAGAATGAATTAATTTATTCTCCATATATTCCAACAATAAATCAAATCATTGGCATACTCATCGAATGACTTTGCAATCTCACGGTAACACTTGTAAAACAGTTCAGAGGATGGAATTTTTATCATCATCATCATCATCATGACTTGTATTTTCTTACATCAACACCACCTATTTCTTGTGAATATAATGTAAATATTGTATGGTAATTACTTAATGAAACAAAATCATATGGAGACACAATTTGCATGTTACATTCACAAGGGCCTCAACTCAGTACCTGAATACAGATGCACTAAACTGGACTAATAAAACATCTACACTATGAGAAAATTTAGGTAAAAATATTCTTACCAAATTAGATATGGATGAAGTTTATAACCATTAGATTCGTTTTGAGATGAGTGCAAAATAATTAAATTTTATATTGCACTTATTTCAACACATACAAATGACTATAAAACCCATTCTGACTCAATTTGGTCAGCATATTTTTCCTCTGAAGTATCAGCCACATTAAGTCTGCAGAAGCTGAAACTGGCCACCTGATACAGGCTTTGCGCATTTAAGCAATCAGTCGGCCATTCGAATAGCATGCCACTTTCCAGACAGAAATTCTGCAAGGAGTACAACCAGCTTTATAAAATCGTAATTAATAAAAAAAAATTCTGAAAGCTACCAATTGATGTAGCTGCTATAATAACTTTTACAACATTAAGGATGGGACATGAACAAAATAAATTCCCACTTCAACCGGTATCCTTTTATTTCTAATGAATACAGAAGCAAATGGTCTACAACGAGAGCAAAAATCTACAGAAATATTTTAGCGTTTTAACAAAAGAATCGTTTCTAATACTGGTAGTAGCCTTCAGTCGATCAAACACCATCTGGTAGAGAGAATACAATCACCAGTAGCAATAAGCAAAATATGACACATGAAAGTTTGTAGGAAACCATGGTACCATAATCCAAAACATGTAAAAGAGCCAAAAAATTGAATGGACACTGCCCAAAAACATGCCATAGACTTTGAATTCTAGAGTACTTCAATAATTGCATATTTGATTGGAGATTTTAGGGTTGAAGCCAAGATCAACTTCCCAACCACACAGTTAATCATGCCAAAAAAAATTTCTGAACGCAGCAAATTGGTGTAGCTGCTATAATACTTCTAAAATCCAAACACATGCATATCTCATGTTTTGAGGTTCTTTTCATAGATTGATGAGTATGATCCATCAAAGGATTAGCGTTCATACATAAAATCATTGTATCTCCAGGCTTATTGAGATACAAAGATTATGCAACTGAGAGCCACGATGGATCAATATGGCCTAAACAAAGTCAGCTTGAACCAGCGTGCTTCATGCATAGTCTGGCTGTAAGGAGGTGGTGACCTAACAAATTTTTACCCTGACGATTATTTGAGGGGGGTTGGAACAAGAACCCAACTTGCTGCCGCCAAGATTAATTCATTAGCTTTGCCAGATCACGCCAACACACTCGTTACCGCGCAAATTGAGTAAATGAGGTTTTGCAATCTAAGTCATTGCGATCTCCATATACCATTATTTCATAAATCATTTATGTGACTCCTCTCAAAGAGACTAATATTTCGATGCAAAAAGGCGATCTATAACCGAAATTTTCTAGCAACTACAAATTTGTGGACTAACCTTCTCAAATATACTATCAAAAATCTGATCATCAAAATTTTAATATGTTGCTTCTGATGAAATATGACATTGAGATTTACAAGAAAATGTATTTGGTATGTTAATTAGAGGCATCACTTCTAAACTAGTGTCAAGTGCTCAAGTACCCATAGCCCTAGTGGTTCAATCGGGCCAACCCAGGGACATAAATGACTAAATACTTTTTAATCAAAGGTGCGATCATCATCATTCATTGTTGATAACTATAACGAATCCTATATTCCTATAAAAATCAATAAATTTACTCCAATTTAGTTCATTTAGGGCATTCTAAACTTATGGAATGTAGGAGAATTATGGAGTTTTGACCCTCGGCCGCCTTCTCAGGATGTTATTTCCAACCTTAAATGGCCATCAACTTTAACGGATATTGAAACCTTCCATCAAGTATTAGGAGTAAATCAAGGACCTTAACCTCTTATGGGAGGAATCCTAGCATGACCTTTTGAAAATGTAAACAATATGGGCATTGTGCAGACATACACCAACTTCAAGTTAAGGAATAGTTGCATGACATATCTGCTCCATTGACAACCTCCAAAGAATGTCAAAGATATGGATTCATTGTTCACCTCTCTAAGAGTCGCATTGCTGCATCTCCCCAACCAATTCATCGTCAACTCCTAACTCCGATACTCTTTACTCAACTATCACCATCATTCATATAAGTTCTTCACTAAAAGTATGTTAGTTCAATTTAGAATCTAACTGTGTTGATCAATCAGGTTTTATTGTTCCACCTCGGGTCTCAATTCAGTATGTTGAGCTCGTTGGGGGATTGTAGGGGATTCGCACCCCAAAAATTTTTTTTCCATATAGCACCCTGGCGATGTATACCCAAGCACCCCAACACTACATAGTTTAGTGGAAAAAGATAGAGAGCGGAGTGTTGCAGCGCTCCAAATCTTGGCATTGCCAAGGGGCATTGCGGCGATCTAGACCCCAATGTTGCAGCATTGTCATACAGACAAAAGACAGAGAATTGAACGCCGTGGCGCTACGAGGCGGACAGAGCATTTTTTTCTTATTTTTCATTAATGGTTGGTCTCTTGGTAGTTGTTGTGCATCTCTTTATTTGCTCTCATGTAAAAACGATGTAAGAGAGAAGAGAGAAAATGAGAGGGTGAATAAGAAGATAGATTTGTACTAATTCTCCCAAATTTTCATAGTGAATTTCTTGGTGCGGTGTGGCTCCGTGGTTTTTTCCCGGTTTTGATTTTACCACGTTAAAATCCTAGCGTTCTTTTCTTTTGGCTGCAATTTTATATTTCTTGTTTGTTTCGCTATGTGGTTTTACTTCCCACCCAACAAAATCCTCAAGTGTGACTCCAAAAGAGCTAAACCTAAGAAGGTAAGTAAGAAAACAAAGTCTTCTCCTCTTCAAAAGCCCTGCGAGGGTTCGCAGATGAGTGAGCTTCAAAGAGTATCTGGTATTGGATAGGATCCCCACTAAAGTCATCAAGCAAGCTCATCCATACCAATTGGGTAAGTGAAAGATAGGATTTTGCCTATTCAAAAAGCCCAGTGAGGGCTCATCAATGAGTGAACCCTAGAGGGCACCTAATAATATATAGGGTCTTCACAAAAATGTCCTTGATAGCAGCTCCCACCGAGTGAGCCCAAGGAGAGTAGGTGAGCAGACAAAGCTTCTTCCTAATCAAAATCCCCAAAAGGGACCACCCAATCTGTAAGCCATGGGAAGGAATCTAATATTGTTGAGGTTGTTATTAGTACAATTACCCAAGTGAGTTTCATAATTGAATGGTTCCTCAAAATGGCATATTATGCATATAAGGAATATGCATCCAATGCACTAAAGAGAGATAAGATTTTGTGGCCATAATTCACTCACCTAATGCATTTAAAGTAAAAACTATCTTCAACATTAATGTAGCCAACACTACATTACTCATTGTTATCAAGTTGACTCCTTCATAGATACAAAAAATGCATCCCTTGTTATGTGAAATTACATACACCACTTCGACAAACTTCGTTCTCTACATGTCATCAGTCGTGTCACACAGTATACTTCAAGTAGTACCATCACCCCCTATATGACCAATTGAGTCATTTGTACCTCTTTATGCAGCACTATCACTTAAGTCAGCAACATTGCACACTCAACTACATACAACTCTAATGATCACCCCTTAGTGACGTATATCACTCATGCTACTTTGTCAACACCTACCACCTCCATTATTAGCAAGACTTTGTCAATAAATCATCTTACTAAGAGTGATGCCTATTAGCAAACAATCGCAAGAAGAAAGACATTGGACATTCATTAGAGGATCAAGCGCATCATTAACAGAACCTCCCAATCCCCCATAAAGGAATAGAGGGCAAGGGCAATCATGATAATGCCCTTTGGCATAAACCAAAATGCATGCTTTTTAATCCAATTCAACAACTAATTGCCACATCGTTGGCTTAGGATCCTATCTAAACAAGAGTCCAGAGAGGATGTCCAGAGTACAATATAGCTAAAAGGGACCTTGATCAAACAAGTTTTCTTAAAATTTTCATGTATATAGGAGAAACTCCATAGAAAATGTTCAAGAGGATCTAATCTCTGTCTGAAAGTCGTCAAAACAATCAACAACTAGACTCTTCACTCCCCTAGGCAAGGTCATAACTTCAACCTTAAAAGGATGAGAGCGGTCAAGGTGGACAAGACCTTAATAATCCTAAGTAAAAGATGTAAAAGTCTGTGTTGCACCTTGAAAAGGATTCAATCGGTCCTTTCGGGATTAATCCAACCTTTCTATAACAAATTACAATTATCGAATAACACTTTGATCAACAATCTTGAAAGATGATCAAAATCCTCAATGGATTCAATTCAACTTCTTTGTCATAAATTATGATTTTCGAGCAAGGCAATCAACAATCCTGGAAGAAAGTGAAAATCCTTAATGGATTCAACTCCACTTTTTCCATTATATACTATGGTTATTAAATAGGATTCTATTCGACAGTCCTAGAGAATGGCTAAATCATTAGTGTATTTGTATACCTCGGACAAGATTTAGTGAGATTCTCATAAGGAACCCATTAGATCAAAACAAACAGGGATCAATAAGTTTTAAGACAAACTTGATAATCTTAACAAACCTATTTCATCACCCATAAATCCTTAAGCAAGGAGCCCACAAAACTTGGCCACTTGGTAAGTTTTCAGCAAAGCTTCAACAAGCTCTTTGTTGGAAAATTCATCATAATGCAATGGCTCAAAATTCAATCAATGTTCTTTATCTTCAACCCAGCTTCCAATGCAAATTGGATAACTGAAGATTCAATTATATGATTAACTAATAAGATATTCTCACTACAAACTCAATGGACCAATCAAGAAGTAACAAAAAAGGCCCAAAGATACTATTTTTCTTTTGCGACGGGAGCAAATGGAGTATTTAATCAAGATAAAATTATTAGGCTAGCTAATGCCTTCAGCAACACGCCTAATTTTTTTTTTAAAGAATACAGTTTCCTATACAAGTCCAGAAATTGGAGTGTCACCACTTCAAACCAGCATCAATAATATGAATGGCCGCATGCTTATATTATTACTTCGTTACCTACTTCAATGTCATTTCCTGCATTTAAACATATGACTCCATTGCCCGCTCTTCAGCCGGCATTATCACCACTACTTAAATTTCCAAATGCAGCTTCTTCACCTTCCAATTGACACAAATAACTTTCCTCAATTCATTGTTGACTTGGATTCTCGTGCCACTTTGTATGGCTTTGACGTCAACTCATATATCACAAATAAATGCCTAGCCGCATAATCAAGAAGATGCATTCAATAAATAGTAAAATTGATATCAAATCTGAGAGAAAACCCAAGTTAACATCCAATAAGTGGTTATACCACGAAATTTTTCTTCAAGTTATGATATTATACATCAAGTATCCTTGGAAGAGGAAATATGTTGGACATACAAGCAACTGTTGAAATTGTAAAAATACCAATTAATTGAGCAACATTTTCAACGAACTCAAAAGCATCTCAAATGACCAAATTGATGTCCAATTACTTCAAAACATCAAATTAGAGATCATACAAGCCCAAAAAACCCTCACTAAATGGGTTGGCTCGTTAAAATAAATACAACTATGCCAAGATTGTCCGATTCAAAGCATAACCGGAGCTGTATATCCTAATTCAAGTTGGACTGGCCAGTCTTAAGCCAACCTCCATGCAAGGTCTATGACAGTGTCAAGTGAAAGAAGCCAAGATGGTGGTGGTCCTTCTAGCCGTGCCCCTCTGATCACTATAATAAGATCCAAAGTAAATTTCACTGAGAGCAATATGCTAGTGTTCTCTAACCACATTAAAGCGTTACTATGCAAACTGACCAATATCTCCACAGACCTCTATTTTGCAAGCTATATGTGACTAACTTCTCTCAAATAGAGAAACATTTCAATTAAAAAATGATGGTTGTCATAATAGTTTTCTAACAACCTCAAATTTGAGCAATGCACCTTCTCAGAATTATTCTAAGTAATCGAACCAACAAAATTTTGCTAACATCTTCATTGGATTTGTGGGTTAAAACATGTAAGATGGTATGTTCAATTAGTCAATCAAAGGCATTACAATGGTGATCACCCACAAACCATCAAAGGTCCCCATAGCTGAAGTGGGTCGATTAGGAGTACTTAAGGGTAAGATCGTTCAACCACTTTTAGATCATGGAAACATCATTCATTATATATAAATAAGAAGAATACTCTAGTACATTTTGAATAAGAACTAAATATCACTCTCAAAATATACAAATAGAATATGATTCATACATTGGGGGACATTATGAACTTCTAGAATGTAGGAGAATTTTGAAGCTCTAGCTGCTACATGAATTCTTGTGACACTCAGGTACCTCCTAAACCTTCTTGCACACGCTGGACCATACCACATGATTTTTAACTTTCAGAATTTTCCAAGCAAAAAATATTGTAACCCACTCTCTTATATTTGACTGATTTTGCGTGTTGTCATAACTAGTAATAGGCTAATAGCTAAGGTGATTGAGGTTTACTTTCTCTTAAACTCTTCCAATCAAAAAGACTAAAGGTTCTTTTTCATATAAGGCCAATAAGATTGCACGATAATACTAAATATCAACCAATCTAAACTCCGAATTAAATTGCAACCCAACAAAATCTATTGGTACGTCAAAAACAAACATTTATTGCATAGACCAAGTGCTTGATGCGATGCACAATGACAAAAAAAATATGAGAAAACATTTTCTTGCATTTAAGCAGCTATGTAAATAAATAAATATATTTCAAACAAAAAAAAGACACCCAGCAATAATGAAAACTCAAGAATAAGGAGTCTGAACCCGAAACTAGAAACTTACATGAGCTCAAAGGCTACAGATCACTATAATTTCTCCATACTGCACGAAATTCCTCGCGGAATGTATTAAGACGTGCTTTCAGATTGGGAGTTTTAAAACTGGCATGAAGTAATGTCGCTACAACAAATAAAAGGGAGAAAAATTAAAAACATTTTAATCTCAAACGATACATAGACAATCGAATAGCAAATTAGTAACGTGTTTTATTTATACCTAAAAGACCAATTGCCAGTGCCCACAATACTGTGAGAAGGCTAGAAGAAGTAAACCATAGGATGCAACTAGCTAGAAATACAAAACATTTTGGTCAATCAAGATTTGTTGCAAAAATATGACTATTTTTGTCATACTGAAAAGAGGAAAAACTTATAAACCTCCTGAAAATATCATGACAAACACCCAGCGAGGCCAGCCACATATATGAATTGCCCTTTTTGATGATGGCCGCCCCCGAAGAACAGGCCTGATCAGGATTACAAGAGCAAATTAATCACTAACAAGTAACATCATAATAAAACAATGCTTCAAAGGAAAGCATTCAGGACCACTCACATTATTGGCGGCCGCATTTTTGCAGCCAAATGGGGGGAGAATTTCCTAACAGTCCTCGTTACCTTTTCATTGAATGAAACTGCAAAACTGTACAATAATAAGAAATCAGCCCAAATATAGTACTGTATAACATTTTCAAACATTAAACGGAATAAACAGGAAGTTGATGCAAAAAATTAAAGAAATTATGCTTGACTGAATACAAAGAAAACCAGCAAAATGTGAAACCTGCATCATATGCATACTGGCAATGAAGGCAAAGGGAACAAATAAACATGGATCACATAGCATGCACAGCATCATAAAAAAATGCAATGTTAAATTCAGCCCAGCATCTCCAAGGCCTCAGTATAGCTCTTCATCAAACATAGCACAAATATGGGAACGAAGAATCTCAGGTGAATCTTTTCCAATGCGCAAGAAACTATGGCATAAAATCTAACTCAGATTAAAGAGAAGTGTATTATATTTCAATACTGAAGAGGAGAAAAATTAAATAAGTTATGCATCTGTGCTTTGCGGATAAGCAGATATTGAAGAGATTTTCATGAATAAGTCAAGCTTTTGTTTTTTTTTCATCCAACAAATAAAGAATTTCAAGCTGTGTAGTATTCAAACAAGATGATCACCCAACATAATTCAACAAGACATTCATTGAATGATTGAACAATTTTTTCCAAGCACTAATAAAACAATAATACAGATTTGTGTCCATTCATCTATGTATTAACCACTGTTGGCATCCACAAAAGCACACTGATCACAATAGCATCAAGATCATCCAGCCGGTTGAACCAGTCTACAGTCCAGAGAAAGATCCGAGCTAACATCCTAGGGAGGCCACAATCATGAAAATCAACTCATAAACACTTGTTTGGGTAAACCATGCAAACGGACGACCTCGTTGAAATAGAGTTTGGCAATGTGAGAGGCGTCAGATGTTTTGGAGCAAGGTAGGAAATGAGCCATTTTGGAAAATCGATCTACTACAACACAAATGGCGTCATTCCTATGGATAGTTTTGGGCAATCCTAAGATAAAAACCATGCTAACATCCTGCCAAGGGCAACTGGGGACAGGTAGAGGAGTGTACAGACCAGTGTTTTGTTTGAGTTGTTTGGCCAGTTGGCAGGTGTGACACCTACTGACCATCCAACCGACATCTCTCTTCAAGATGGGCCAATAAAAATGATACTCCACGGCTTCAATTGTTTTGTCCCAACCGAAGTGCCCAGCGAGGCCTCCGGCGTGGAGTTCCCAAACAAGAAATTCCCTAAGGGGTGTGTTAGGGATGCAAAGCTTTTGGGCTTTGAAAATATAATCATCCTCCAAAAGGAAATCGTTCACAAGGCGCATGCTCCCTATGGACAAGAGAGAGTATGTCTCCTTGAAGTCGGGGCATTCCAAATAGTCCCTCTTTATTTGGTAAAATCCCACGATTTCATCTCTCATCTCAGTGGTAGTCATCATACAACGATTGAGAGCATCAACAGCCTTATGTCTAAGGGTATAAGTATACTCCTGAAGAAACTCTACCCATTGACCGTGAGGAGTTTATATAACGCAGAGCTTCGTGGTCTGAGAAAATGAAAAACTCTTGTGGGAGCAAGTAATGTCGCCAATAACGAAGAGACTGGATCACAACATAAAACTCTTTGTCATGTGTGGAATAACGCTGCCGAATATCATTTAGCTTTTCACTGAAATAAGCTACTCGGTGACCTTCCTAGGAGAGGACTACTCCAATTCCGACCCCCGAAGCGTCGTAGGTCACTTCGAAGATTTTGGAGAAATCATGAAGTATCATCACTAGGGCTTCCACCATCCTTTTCTTAATCTCATCAAAAGCTCTAATGGCTGTTGGGGTCCAATGGAAATCACCCTTCTTCAGATAATCAGTGATAGGAGATATGATAGTGCTGAAATTTCGAATAAATCTCCTATAGAAGGTGGCTAATCCGTGGAATCTGCGGACTTCTCGGATGTTCTGAGGGACAGGACATTCAACAATGGCTCTCACCTTCTCGGGATCTGCAAAGACCCCTTGGGCTGATACGATGAAGCCCAAAAAGATAACATAATATACAAGGAATGTACATTTCTTAGGATTGGCATAAAGCTGTTCCTTCCTTAAGATCTCACAAAATTGTCTTAAGTGGTCCAAGTGCTGACTCACTGACTGACTATAAATAAGAATGTCGTCAAAGTAGACGATGACAAATTTTCCCATAAACAGGCGAATCACTTGAGTCATGATCCTCATGAAAGTACTCGAGGCGTTACTCAACCCAAAAGGCATGACTAACCACTTGTAGAGACCATCCTTGGTCTTGAAGGTAGTTTTCCACTCATCTCCGAGTCAGATCCGAATCTGGTGGTATCCACTCTTGAGATTAATCTTGGAGAATAGAGTGGCACCCGTCATCATATCGAGCATATCGTCCAACCTCGGAGTAGGGAAATGATATTTGACGGTGATTTTGTTAATAACATGGCTATCAACACACATTCTCCAAAATCTGTTCTTCTTAGGAGTAAGAAGGGCCGGCACCACGCATGGACTAAGACTCTCTTTAATGAAAGTATGAAACCTCGCTACAGCAACTCATCTACCTGCTTCTTAAGTTCGGCATGCTCTGAGGGGTTCATGCGATAGTGTGGCAGGTTAGAGAGGGAGGCTTCATGGACGAAGTCTATGGCATGCTGAATGTCTCTAAGTGGGGGTAATTGATCTGGGAGATCATCAGGAAAACCATCAGCATACTGTCCCAGAAAGGGTTGGACTTCCTGAGGAATGGGTTAGTCAGATTCGATGAGAATCTCACTACCAACTAAGGCGTATAGAGGTGCGCCTTGAGCAATCTCAGAATCCATAATCTTGGCGGTGACCAGGTTCAGTCCTTTCTTGAACTTAACATGATTGGATTTTGAGTCATCCTTAACCCGAGGCTGCGATGGCAAAAGCTTAATATTTTTGCAAGCATGTTTGAACACGCAGGTGTTCGAACGCCCATAGATGTGGACATCGTTATCAAAAATCCAAGGGCGGCCCAAAAGGATCTATCCAACATCCATAATCAGCACATCGCACCAAACATTCTCCTTATAGTCGGCAAAGGAGATAGGTACGATGCTTCATTCTTTCACCTCCAAGGCAGTGGAGTTGACCCACGCTACATTATACGTGTTGGGGTGAAGAACAGCAGAAAGAACCAACTTGGATACCATGCTGGAAGATAAAACATTTATGCAGCTACCACTATCCATTATGACCTTACAGTTCTTATCCTTGATTTTGGTGTAGGTGTGGAAAATCACCGTCCTACGCCAGTCAGTAGTGGGAGTCGAGTGTGATAGCGCGCATCTCACCATGCAGATGAGAGATGTATACAGTTTCTGAAGGCAGAGAAGGACAGCAGTGTCATCATCATCCTCGAAGAATTCGCCTTCATCCTTGACCTCGTGGATCTAATCAACCTCGGGCTCGAGATCATCCTCAGTAATCTCCTCCAAATCTAGCACTAGGCTGTAGGCATTCTCCAAGGTAGTGACGTTCCGGGCAAACAGCTCGTTGCGAAGATCCTCTCACAACCCGGTACGAAACATACAAGATCTGCGCGGGGGTGGTAGAGGTCTCCCCTTTGCAGCGAATCAGGTAATCATCGAAGGAAATGATCTACTCCTTAACTGGTTTGTTGCCCTGAGTCAGCCTATTCCACATATCCAACAACCTAGGAAAGTACGAGGGAGGCAAGTACTTCTGCTTAAGTTCACGCTTCATAGATGGTCAATCGATGATGGGGTAATCATTCCTGGCTTCCCTAAGGCTCTCTAAGTTGGCCCAAAACTGACTTCCCCTACCCGTGAGTTTCATCTCGGCAAAACTAACCTTCCTAGCCTTGAAGATATTATATCACTTAAAGAAATTATCCATATCTTTGACCCAGTCCAGGAAGAGCTGGGGATCGAGAGTGTCATCAAAGGTAGGAGCATCGACTTTAATGTTCTTCATAAGTGGTATGTCAGGATCATAACGAGGGTCATGTCCAAAGTGAGAAACTCGATGATTGGCATGATGCTGCCTCTCATCTGGCTAGGTATCATCCCCATACATAGAAGGTGGTCTAAATGGGGTGTAGGGGGTTGGATGTTCCCTAGATCGCTCAAGTGTATCAAAACGTTCAGTGGTGTCTCTACGAAGCTCGGCTAGGTCGGCTTGGTTTTCTTTGAGTTATTGGCTAATGGTGTTCATTTGACCTACCAAAAGGTCTAAGTCCTTCTCAGTTGTTTCGGGTCCATAGCTAGATGCTAGGAGACACTTGGGGATTAATCTAGAAAGAGAACAGCACCAAAATGCAATGATAGACTCTCTAGAATGACACTAAACGATGCAGAAATTACTTGGACAGCAAACTACAATAAGAAGTTAAGTAATCTAGGCAACTAGGGAGGTTGTTATATTAAGGACAGCACCTTAGATACTTAAGAAACGCACTAAATGAGTGCAGAAATTTACTGGATAGCAAACACAATCATGATTTAAAATAATTAAAATGAAGTTATGCATGTGAAATTAACTAAGCATGATTAAGCAAAACCCTAGGATGATTTCTGGCATGAAAATCCTAAGCTAACCATGCTCTAATACCAGATGATGTAAAACTAAAATGTTTTAGATGTAAGCGACAAGAATTGCACGATTTCTTGAATAAGCAAGTAAGATCAAACCATTAGCAATCAAAACGACAAAAGAAAACAAGAAAGGGGTGTCTGCGTTTAGGCCAAGCCACTTGCCAAACACTTGGAATATCAAAATAAATTAGAAGCTCAATAACATGCATAATAAGTAGTTTTAACAAAATTTCTAATCTAACAATGAGTTAGCCACATAGAAGGCACGCTCAAGTCCTACGTTTATTAAGCTTGGCAGAATTAGGCGAACAAGATCATCATGAAGTAAATCAAACCACAAAGAGAGTTAGACTTAGGAAAATACAAGAGTAGGAAGATTGGAAGACCTTCGTCATGGCTTGGATATAATCCTCCACTGAATGGTGCCAATTTGCCCCTTTATGGCCTCCACAAGA